ATGCAGGCTGCATGTGTTCCTCTGATACAGACCACCCGCGAATCGACGAAACGCTCGATCGCACTAGTTACTCTTCCGTCTTGGCAAGACATTTGCCCATGAAGAGAAAAGGACCAAAACGATTCGAACATCGCAGAACTGGAGCTCTCCGTGGGAAGTCAAGACCAATGAGAATCGAATATTGTAGAGCTGGAACCCTGTTTCAAACTTACCGCTGAAACTGAAACCATACCGACGCGACTTTCGGTGTACCATATCATCCCAACTATTCGGTTTGGAAAACCGAACTTTCGGTTCGGCAAACCGAATTTTGGGTTCGGCAAACAGAACTTCCGGTTCGTATAACCGAACGTTCAGCATACATGACCGTACTTTATTCGTCAGTTCACTTTACCAAACATGTTCAGTTATACAAACCGAAAGTCCAGTTTGACGAACCGAAATAGTTGGGATGATATGAAACACCGAGCTTTGGTACACACAAACAAGCCATTTTTTTCAGTGGGGAGGAGCATAGTAATGTTTTATACTTACCTTGTATTCACACGGCCCTACGTCATTCTGCGAATTTTTTGCATGTGTAGAGGTCTGCGGCGCGTGGCAACGGTGGTTTATCGTCGGCAAAAAATCTAGCCTGAGTCCGGAGCGGCGATATCAGAGGTTATCCCGGCGGAGGCTTGACCCATAGATAACGATCATCTTAAGCGTAAAAGCTTCATTGTAGCGTTGATTGCAAGTGACAAGACGAACGACGCGACTTTGGCTCCAGGACAGTGTCCATTCCAAGTCCGAGCACTCCCGCCCCGCGAAGAGCGCCGCGTATCCTTGCACCACTTCCACCCGGGCGCATCCGCGGATCCACGCCACGCGGCCACGCTAAGGAAAAACGCCGTATGAACCTCCAGGCGTTGCCGAATTCCACCTGGTAAATCACTATTTTTTAGAAAAATTTGTGAATATCTTTCTACCAATTTTTCAGAGGATTTTTTTAGTATTTTGATCTGAAGTTCCTGAAAATTTCAAGGAAAAATATTTATCACCTCCTTCGATAATAAACATTTTACTAAAATAAATTTGGCAACTCTCGAATGCTCATACGGCGTTCTTCCTTAGCCCGGCAGCACGCTCCAGCGGCTTCACCATGTCATTCTCTCCAGATTCCAGATCCCCCTTTATTATTTCTCTCCTTCTCTAACTAGCCCCTAGCCCCCCTCCCCCCACCCTACTTCGTGCTTTTGAAGCAGCTTGGATCTTGCCGCCTGCCTTTGAATCCCGAGGAGGAGACTGCTCTGCTTCGGAGGAACACCATATGACTGCCGTGCTAAGTAAAACCGCCGTATAAGCATTCCAGTGTTGCCAAATTTCTGCTTTAAAATTTTTTATTTCTGAGGGAAGTTATGGTTGATTTTCTTTGAAATTTTCAGACTTTTTAGATCAAATTACGAACGGAACCCTGTGAAAAATCGGATGTTAAAAATTCACGAGTTTTCCTGAAAATCCGTGATTTGTCGGAGGAAATTTGGCAACGTCTGATGGCTCATACGGCGTCCTTACACAGCACAGCAGATGGGCCCTAGGACGTCGCCAAATTTCCTTTAAATAAATATGCATTTTCCGGAAAATTCATGAATATTCTTTCGTCAATATTTCAGAGAATTTCACTCAGTATTAATTCTGAAATATCTGGGAATTTCGAGAAAAATTACTCATAATTTTTGTCGATGAATATTTCGGAAACGTTCGGCAACATTCGTTAACTCACAGAAAGGTTTTCCTCAGCATGAGAGTAGAATATCTTAAAAAAAGAAATGTGGAGACGGAAGTATCTAATTTTGATTGGCGCAGGCACAGGCTGTGTGAGAGAAAAGGCTGATTTTGCCTCTGGAAAATGAATGACACCGAATTGCTTGAAAAGATGGATTAGATAATGGAAAACTGAGGGTAGGAAGTAAAACATACACGTTACTTCCATTGGGAACGATTTCTATAGGATCCTGGACTCCCGTGGAAGCTAATGTAAGAATCCTTGACTAGTTCTGCAACCTCGCGTAGGGTCCTCGCAAATATCGGCTATTATCAGATGTTGAACTTCACAAAAAATTCGTATGATCACATATATTCGCCATAAATCGTTTTTCAACCCTATCAGCTGAGCGACAGGCCCTTTCCAGTCTAAAAAAGTCGGAAAGCGACAACAATTTACTTCTTTTACAAGAATTTAGCCACCTCACGGGTTCTTTCTCAGCTATCGGCTTCACCACCTTTTGGAACGGGTGATTGATGGGTCCAGGCTCGGAGAGAAGGATTCTCTGAGTTTACAAGGATCATAGGTGGCTCTACGTGGGCTCAAGTGAACCCACAGGCATAGAAAATCCCGATAAAAACCGTGAAATTTGTCCCCCAACTATTACGATGTTCAAGTTAAAAATACAGTGGATATTGAATATAACGACATCTGATATATCGAGCTATCCGGCAAAACGACGCAATTTGACCGGTCCCGGCTGAATTCCGATTTAACAAATGTGCTAGTATTTACGTATCGTTTATGACGACATCTCATATAGCGATATATTGGCCTTAGCGACGGACTTTCCTCGACATTTTGGGCTAGGTTATATCGACCACAACGACCGGAGCATTGCTCAGCGAGGCAATGCTCTTTTAATGCTCTCTGTTTAAGACTATCGATACATATGTAAATAAAGATAAACAAAAGTGTTGAATTTTATGTAGCACGTTTTGAATGACAATAATCCTCTAAGTGCGTGCAAAAACTCCACCTTGGAATAAAGTTCTATTTATTATTTTATTTTTGATTTTTCACCTCGTGATGGGGCTTTGGCCTTCGTGTATCGGCACAAACAACCGAGCAAGAAGGGAACTACTACGCCCGTATGAATAATAGCACCGAACACAGTTCGGTTGTCGTGGAACGCATATTAGTGCCTACAAGACTGTAGATATACTTCACGCATTGCGCTAAACACAGCACGGTCGGCTGGGTCGGCGTGGAATAAAAAGTAAGCGTGGAGTAAAAAGTAGCGCCTACAAGACCGTGTGAATACTTCACGCATTGCGTCAAACATACTCCATTCGACCTAGTCGGCCTGAAACGCATATTAGCACCTACTTCACGTAGTCAGTGTGCCTACACCAAACCAAGTTGTGCGCTTTATCTTTGAATATTCGTAAATTATCGGTGTCAAACCTACCACCCCCGGTGTGCTAATTCTGACCAGTGTAAACTGTGTGTGACAAACACCAGTGTACACACAAATAAAATAAAATAATATCAAAATGAAAAAAAAATGAGAATGTAGTGTTAAAAATAATAGTGTTTCTTCTATTGCAAATGAAGAAACCTCGTCTTTATACCCTAGCGCCAATTCGGGATAGGAAGAGGTACAGTATGAGCGAGCTCATTTTTACACCAATCAAGAGGGGGTTAACACGCCCTAAAACAAACAAACAATCTGTGCTTGTCGGATGTGGGTGCCAAGAGACTTATAGAACCATTTTGACATTCACGTCCTTTCGTCTAGAAAACGGCGAATTGGTTCAGAGGCGAAGCATGAATAATCGATTGTCAATATTTTTCCATTTGAATTTGTGATAAAGAATCGATTATTAAGTTGTTTGTTGCGAATACCCTGTTCGTCGATTCTTTTCCGTAGGTTTGAATGGCGAGTCAATAAATACATCGGAAAGCAGGCCACGCTACTGGTTATATTAGTGGGTGCGGGTATATCTTTCATTCATTTCCGATCTACCTGCAGTCCTCCTTTCTTTTTAATTTCATTAATCCTAGCAGATTTTATCACTTTCTGATCAGGGGTTTCCTCTTTTTCCCTCTGAGAGTGGTGGCAAGAAAAAGTCATCTGATTATCATGCCGTAATTAACTAAAACATAATAAAAAAAACATATAACCCACCAAACACAAAACCTTTTGGACGGGTGTATTTTTTTCCATTTTCTGCCTCCATCAGTATTATCCACACATTTTTTTTTTCCACTGAAGGTATTTAAATCTGACTGTTTTTGCCCTGCGTAAACAATTTGCTTTCTAAAACATTATCTGCGTTAGTTACTTCTGAGTTTTTATAATCCATTTATCGTCATCATCTGTGCGCATATCTTCATATGATGAATGACAATTAATTAATTCAAAATGTACGCACCCGCACATTGAAACTTTTTTTGAAAGTAAAGATTTTATGAGCCTGTGTCAGAATTTATCAGATTGTGACGTAAAACATGACTGTGTTGTTACACACACCCACATATGCATCAACCAGACATATTTGTACGTACATTTTTTGGTGATGAAATATTGTCATTAATACCTTTTGGTTGATTCATACTTATTTCAGCGCTGAAATGAGTGGCATTCTTAATAAATAGCAGAAATTTTTTTCAGATTTGAAATTTTGGTTTTCTAAGTGTAAAATCCATTGAAATTTGTACGGCAGATTTTAAACGCTGATGGTTATAACTTATCCATCTTGGTCAACAGATGTTTTTCTCAACACCACAAGAAACGGCAGATTGCAGTTTTGTCCTCGCCAAAATGAACTCGATTCTGTTCAATGCAAGGGTGCTTCATCATGATACTAGGACTGTATCATAGTTTTATTATAGAGGATTGATGTAACAAGCATAACTCATAAGTGTACTGAGTAGATTTCAAAAAGTGCGTTACAGTTGGCGTGTATAAATATATCTGTCGGGAACGCATGAAATTTTTTATTATTTTCTTTTTACTCTCCTCTCCCAATATTCGTATTTTTTAATACAAATAAAACATCAGAGTTACATAGAGTATTCTGGGAGCTTGACCTACTTTTGCTTAGCTAGTTCCTGATGTTTTGTTTAAAAACTCCTTCATTCTAATTTTGTGGAGAATTACAGTTTATTGTTTAATTGGAAATGATTCGATACAAAGGGTATGGAAGTTTCTTCAGAAATTAACAAGTGATGAGGAAAATTAATACAATGGTTTTTCTTTTACTTTCTAATGATTCAATATTTATTTTTCATGATTTATAAACAACAATTTCAACTTTAATTTATTCTCTAGTTTTATAGTGTAAAACAGGTCTATAAAATATACGGAAACGAAAACAATTTTTGACTTTCGTCTAGCATCATGCTGCAAAACACAAAATAGCATAAAGAGTTTAATTTTTTTTTGTTCAAACACGGTACTGAGATGGAACTTCAATGTGGGCTGAGAGTTAAAAACTCCGATCACAGTCTTCGCAACTGTAAATATTAGGTCAGTTTATCATCAGTATCGCCAGTTCCAAACTAAATAAAATAACTCTACATACAGTCAACGGAACAATTACGGTACTTTTGATTTTTTTTAAAAAAGTATTTGCGTCTAAAGAAAAAAAGGTGGCATAACAGCGTACAAGGGAGGATGGGAGAAATGTCAGGTCTATACCTGCATGCAAAATAGTTGATAATTAATACTCTGAGACTTTGTCATACAAATCAATCAATCAATCTCAGATCCTTGACGAGATGGACAGGTATGAGTTTCATTGGACTGCCAGTAGATAAAACAAATCGGTGACCTAGAGCTTGGATGCAGATGTACAGGCCAGCCATGCATTTTAATTATGCCACACTTTATAATTTTAGTCTGTTGAGTGGTTTAAAGACCAAGAATAAATTTTTCTTTAAGAGGTGCTTCTTCGAACATATTGGAACAATATAAAATGAGGAAGAATATTCTTTACGCATACGTTCAATGGTATCTACAAGAATGATTATTTCCGTGGGCGATACTGACAACATAGCATACACATAACATACGGCTTTTTTCTGATACATGAGCCAGTTTTGATTCATATTGGATGCATTAATTATTAATCTTAACTTAAAAGGAGGTTGATTTTCAACTATATTATCAATTCTTTGATTCTAAAATAATGGAAAGAGGAACTTTTTTCTTCATAAGATGATAATCATTAATATAAACTATCGGAATGTGAGCAATGTGCTGTACATTTTTGCGGAATATGCAAAAAATAAAAAAAAAATCGGTGACCTGAAAATAATCTTTCCACCGGGAAATCGATTAAGCCGAGTTGAGCGTTCTTGGTATACCAACTTAATTTAAGTACATCCAAAATTATAAAAAGAAAAAAAGGCAAAGAAATAAAGTATTGAGAAAAGTTGAAATTATTGAAATAATGAAATCTTCTCCTCTCTTATCATAGTTCCTAAACACTTGTTTTCAACCAATTTTTTCATTCCAGGAAATGAGATACTTCAGCACTCAACTTTTTGGCGGTTGTATTAGTCCACATTTTGATGTAAAGTCGTTGTTCAAATTTTCAAAGCGTTGGTTGCGAAGAAAATCATGACAGAGCGATACAAAGAATCACAGAGCGCTGCAGTGAAGTCATTTTTTGATAAAAATCCATTTATTTCCAATATAATCTGATGCCCCACTCTACTGAAACTGTGTGTCAGTATCATCGACTTTGAATTAGAATCTAATTTTAAGTAGATTTTCAAAGTCACATAAACACTGTTTTGTGTATTCATGGGATTCGTGTTTTTGAAAGTGAACTTTATGATAAAACAGTGATCAAAAATAATTTAATGTTTTAAAATTGAATTATTTTGCAACTAAATTACTGCCGATATTTTTTTTTGCATAGGGGTTATGATTTCAATGGGTTTGTTCTGTTTCTGAATTTTTATACTCTTTTTTGTACACAGCGTTAAATAAGCACATCTTCAACAAAAAAGAAATATTTATTTTATAAAAGTAACTATCACAATAACATTTACGTCAGACAATTGGGGCTAACCTTTTAATATATTCAGAAGTGTTGGAATATTTATATCAGTAGTTTACTGGTTAAACTATCTGGAGACATGAATTTAGAATGGTTTAATTGCATCCTTGGAAAATTAACCCTTTTCTGTAGAATTCTATAGAATTCCATAAAATATATTGATCAAATACATTTTACCGAGCGAGTGGATAGGAATTCTTAACTGGGAATGCACACACCGATAGTAATATGTTCAACACTTCTGATTTGAGATATTATTTTGAATGAAAAAATACTCTAAACAAAATGTAAAAAAAGCCCCGTCTGTTTATAAAAGTTTGTTCTTAATTCTAATTGGTAAAAGGCACTCAATAAAGGCCATTAAATTTCAATAAAATTAAAGATCCAATTTCTTTCTAAATTCAAAAATTGAGAATCATTTACAAAAGGATAGAGTAGGAAGGAATAAACAAATTGAGTAAGTATATAATGGTAACTTAAAATAATCAACTGAATGGTATTACCAGGCTCGCATTTTATACACTAAAAATCAACTATATTAGAATTTTCTAACGAGACACATTCGTTGAGAAAACCAGCAGCGGTTTGGGAAATTCCTTGCGTCATAGGGAGTTTGATCGAGAAAAAACAGAATCGAGGAGGTGATTACTTTTACATAAGCCAGTGATGTTTACCGGACGACAAATAAATCTACGTACACCGTACCCTTCATCTTCTGATCATAGTGCCCAAATATAGTTGACTCACCCAAACTAAGTGCCCGCGGCCAACAGCTCCCCTTCTCACCTCTTTTTTTCAGGCCAACAATTTTTTTTTTACTTTATGAGCTCAACTTTTTTTGTGTAGAATGTCTTGAAAATAGATTTAAAATTGTTCCTCTCTGTTTTTGTGGTTTTCTCAACGGGACTCACTCTCTCTTTTGCCTTGTTCAACAAGCCACCTCTAAAGAGCGCCATGTTGGATTTTTAGAGGAGGATATATTTTTGACTAGCACCAGGGCCGGAGCGACACAACTCAGGTCTCATTAACTCGCCAAGCAAGGCTCAATCCAGGTACAGTTGACAATATTAACTTATTCTCATTGATAGGCTTGAAAAGATGGAAATTCAGCATATGTGACCGGATTTTGAAAAGGGACTTTATCTTCCGGAAGAAAATTTACCTCAACTTTTTTCAAAAGCTTAGACCATGTTTTTCTATATCTTAGACATTTTTATTCTGTAACTTCAAAACTCATACGTTCTTCAATCTTTAACCTTTATGGGGTCAAATTTGGTGCAAAATTTTCAGTTTTCTTACTCCACGCTTTGGTACCAAAAACCTAAATTTGGAATTTTGGAAAATAAGGCCCCTTCTCAGAGATCTGGTCACATATTTCGAGGTGTATCGAAGGGAGGATAGGTTAAAGAGCACCTGCGGAGCGGTACTTAAGCACTGGTTCAGAGGAGCCGAATGAAGTGTGGTGCAACGCCGCGGTGACGTTGTTATCCGTGCGTTTGAGTCTCCGGCTACGGCACTCTGTGGCGACCCCTACTCGGCAAGAGGAAGAGGGGTCGACAGAGGAGAGGAGCCGGTATCAAGTATTTTTATTATTGCTGCTTGTGTTGTTATTGTTGTTGTGTGACTTCTCGTGGTCGTCGCTTTTGGGGCTTTCGGGGCTCTCCCGGGACTGCGGCGACGCCACCTGGAGGAGCGACGAGGATGAGGATCGGGACGAGGTGCTCTCTTTCTCGTTACTACTCAGACTATCCAACTTGGTAATTCCTACGAGGGACTCCATCTGTCGCTGCATGTAGACCAAATTGTAGCTGGGCGAGAAGTTGGAGCGGGGCATGATTCGATTCGAGTCTGCGCTCACCTTGCCCATGAAGGACCTGATCTCCTCGAAATAGGAGTCCTCGCCGATCATGCCGGGGGGTCGACACCTCTGCGAGACGGGCGAGCTCCTCTTCCCGTGCCGGTCGTCCAGGATCGTCGGCCCGTCCGACTCGTGCTTCTTTAAATGCCTATCTAGGTTCGTCTGCTGCCCGAAGCACCGATCGCAGAGCGGGCACTTGAAGGGCTTCTCCTTGTTGTGGATATTCCTAACGTGCCGCTGGAGGTTTGATGAGATGCTAAAGGAGCGCTCGCAGTACTTGCACTTGTAGGGCTGCTCCCCGGTGTGCGTGCGGAGGTGCCGCGTCAAGTTGGCGGATCTAGGGAACTGTTTACCGCAGAATTTGCAAGCGTACCTATCTTTGGGTTTCCCGACCGTGCTCAGGGGTTGGTCTTGCGGGTGCTTCGGGGAGTTGGGGATCGGCGGGTGGACGCTCTCGAAGGCAGGTGGGCCTGGAACTCGGTGACCGTTGAGCAAACCTTGGAACGGGTTGTAAGGTGGATATTCGGGGGGACTCGAGGGGGAGTATGGAAGGGGCATCCGCGGGACCTTCTCGCCGGCGCGGTACATGACCTCCAGTACAATCGGATGCACGGGTGGCTGGTGGTGGGGGAACAGCAACGGGTAAGGTGCCATGGCTTTCCCTTGCGACTTCCCTTTATCATTGAGCTCCTCCTTTGGCTTATCGGCCACCTCGATTTCTTTCTCGCTGGACGTGGGAGAAGCGTGCCCGGAGGCAGGCGTGGCGTTCTCTTTAGGCGAAGGCGAGGGCGAGTGGATGATGAGGTTCTGGTTCTCGTCCTCGAGGTTCCGCCGCAGCGTCACCTTCTTGTAGTCGACGCGGAGGTCGAGAGGCTGGTCCTCGTCGCACTCGCTGAGGGAGGGTGGTGGCCGGGCGGCGGGTGACATGTGGGGGCGACTTCCCGCCCTTGAGAGGTCGAACGGCATCTCGTCTGCCGGCTCGTGGTCGCCGAGCGCAGGAACTTGGACGGTGAGAGGGTAGACGGCTGCTTGCTTGGGGGAAGCTGAGGCGGGGTCGGTCGAAGGCAGCACCATTTTACGCGGACTGGAATCCTTCTCTCTCATGTTGTCACCTGCTGCGCCGATAGAAAGCGCGCCAGCTCGCGGGTAGTAACAGTACCACGCCAGGGAGGACTCCACCACGCTCATTACTGCAACAAACAAAACAAAACATCGGCCATTAGTGAGTTGTTAAGCTACAAGAGGCATGTGAGGCTTTTCAAATTACAGCCATTCAGAAGGTAATCGATAGAATGTTTAGCTTTTAACAGTCAAGTTGGCCCCGCATCCCTGTGTTTTCAGAAATGACAAAGCGCCTTCAATGTTTTCTTATGCAACACGGACATCCACGAAGTACGTTTAGTTGTATCCAGGCGCTAATTTCTAAGACGCGTTGTCGTTCCCTACTTTGCCGAGGGAAACATCATTTTTAGCCTCTTTGACGCCACTTTCGTTAGGTTCAGTCTCATGGAAAATTTTCTATTAGTCAAAACAAATCATTCTGAACAAATGGAGATTTTGCAAGTGTCTGAAATTTTGTAAATTTCGTGTTCAAGAAGGGACTACGGAGTGAACTGATCATGAGAATATTCTTATTTTCTAAAATGAACAATTAATAGAAAATATATGAACAAATGAACTGATCTGCTACTGATACATATGTATTTAAAAGGGAAATGCCGCCTGATGACGTTACAAGATGACAGTTTTTCTCACCTTTAAATCAAATTTTCTACTATTTCTTGTATCAGGGAAAAATCACGAAATGAATCAATGAATTCTTCATTGGATGTAACGATGGTATTTGTTTTTTTACTAAAAGGGGGTCTGAAAGCCTCTCCGAAAACATTCGGAAAAGTGTCCCAAGGAACAATTTTGAACTGTTTAACAAAAGTCGATAAAACAACAAGTTCCAAGATAAAACATACGTGTATTTATTATTAATTATTTTAAATATTAAAATTGATTATTATAGATTATGCAAAATTACGTAAATTTTATGGAGGAAGCCAGACCCCCACTGCTTTCCTTTGGTTTCACCTTTACTTACAGTCGTTGCAAACGCTGTGAAGAAAGCATCTGGGATAGCTAGCACCGAAAAACAAGTAAAGGAAATGAAAGGAAAGGAAAGATTTAAGTCCAGAAATTTGAAGCATCCCCAGTCCTCTCGCATCACGTGCAAGAACTACGGAGATGAGCGCACAGATTGCATGAGCGCATAAAAAGAGCTTATTCAATCAGACTTTAAAGTTCACTGCAGTTGTGGACGGAGTGTCTGTCTCAGCCAAATTGCTGATTAAATTGAAGATGCGCTCGCGCATTCGGAACGGAATACGGGATTTTTTAGGTCAACTTTGCAATCGCGGTTGCGTGCACTCGTTTTCGTGGAGCTGTCGACGAGGAAGCTAACCTTGCTCCAAAACCTTGCTTGGAATTTCTATCAACCAAATCGTCCAGATTTTTACTCATCGTCAAAATGATCTTCTTCAAACTGACCATCAGTTCTAGATCCAAAGAGATCATTCAATTTGTATCCTTATTCTTTCTTCAGTCTATTGAGGTGGCACCGGTAATAAAGTCAGAGGCGGATCCAGCAACTTGGCAACACCGGATTCCCTCCATTTAAACCTATGCTAAGTAATCGATTCTTTTCGGAGCACCTGGCCCCTCCAAGAGTCGATCCATTTTCATAGGTTTAAATGGAGATAAACAATGTTGCCAATTTAATGGATTCGCCAATGAACAAAGTTCTAGTTTCGACTTGTAAAAAATACATTTTGATAATGCAAAGAATACTTATTACTCGAAAAGTACATAGAAGCAATCTGGAAAAAGCACCAATGTGACCAGATCTACACTAAGAGGCCATAAAAACTCCGCTGATGTTTCACCTGATTTCTCACTACCTTCAAAACTTTTGACTGTCCATACCTTCATCTGGCTTGATAAAAAGGAAAAGAGTACATGAATAGTTTGAACTTTACTTTATTTACTTAATAGAAACTAGGAAGAAATGACAAGTTTCGTGATAAAATAACGAGTAAACTCTCATTTCAATGCGAGTAAGGAAGTTCTGCAATTGGATTTCTCTTTAAAGATCTTTGAGCCAACATTGCTTTTATGCTTTATTTTTAAATGTATAGCGGTGCAAAGAGGGGAACTAAAATTAAACTGAGATTCCTTTTATGGGAGTGGACGTCTAGAGCTAAGCCGCTCTATCAAGGGCAAAGGATGATGTCCAAGAAGCCCCACTGGAAAAATGTTAAACGCGGCATTCCACTTAAATTTTGCACGAGAAATCCAAGGTTTTTTTCCCTTTTCAGAATTCTTCAAATTTTATTCACGCTAAAAGTATGTAGGTATCCATCGTCATATTTTATCTGACGGCTTCGAATCTCATGAACCCATTGAGTGTATTTAGTCGGGACCTAATTTTTTATGTTAACTTTGCCTCAAAAATTAACTGTTCGCCGATAACTTTAAAGCAACTCGAGGTTCTCTTTTTACTGAAAAAAGAAGGAGAAGAAAAGAGGAAAATGGACCGATGAATTCTAAGTAAAAAACAATATAAGATTATGACATCAACAAAGACAAGAGCTTGAAAGAAGGACTGTTTTACTTTTCATCCAAGCTTTAAAGTGCATAAAAAGCTATTTAAGCCGTTTTAATATGCAAAACTCGGTGCCAGCAGCTTCTAGAGTTCTTGAACGTCGGCGTTCCACCAGAGCGAGTCTCTCGGAGAGATAAATTATTTCTCCCGGATTTTATGAAAGTTTTTAACTTGATAATCACTTTGCACGGCTCGTTTAATAATATACACGTCGTGAAAAATGGCTCCTCCTAACATTTTTGACACACGACGGTCTGCGCCCGATAATCAGTGGTACGTTGTTTGAATTTAAAATGAGTTCTTTGCTGCTGTAACTATATGTGCTTCTTATGAAGATCTTGTCGCCATGGGCTTTAATCAGAGTCTACGTTTGACGGGGCTGGTGCCGTTTTATAAGGACGCTTCCGCCGCGCAGGGCTCCTTGCTAACACATCTGCATTCGCTGGAAATCTAATACGACGCCTCTCCCCACCGCCTCTATTGCTTCGCTCATGTTTTATACGGTATCTCTCCGATAATTTTGTAATAGAATCAAATATAAAATGCGGATGCAACGCATGTACGGGGTATGACAGGTCTCTTTAATTGAATTAATAATAATAATAAAAAAATTATATCGAAGAAAAAACGTTAAGTACCTAGGAAAAGCGAGTTTGAGCCGGATGTAGTGGAATTTTTGGCAATCGTTATTCAGCTGAAAAAAGGCAGCATCCAAAAATACGAACTTTTTGGTCTTTCAATAAGGACTTTTCATGGAAAAAATTATCACAATCCCAGCTGTACTCCTAGCTGATTTTGGCGCCAGATATAGGAGTATTTGCACCAGTCAGAGGTAGTTTGAGTCTGCAGAAAGTGTGTTGAGTGAACCATACCTCTGGTTAATGCGACTACTCATACACATCTGGCGCCAAAATCAGTCAGAAGTATAGTTGGGATGGTGATACCCTTTTCCCAGTGTTCTCACCTGGTAGTTAGGCACTCTTTGAAATGAACAAAATCCGTGCTCATTTTTCGATCAAAAATGGAAAGTAATGAGAGGGGAAAATATTTGAAGAAAAATCGAAGATGCGTGTGACCCTAAGACCACTCTTTTGCAGTAACATGGAATATATTTTTTCCGAATCGAACACTTTCCGTTGAAAACGATTCAATTGATCAGTGGATTACTGGTCTCACCTAATTTCTCATCGAAATTTTTCCGTATCGTATATTCCCATAAAACTAAAATACAAATTTTAACGATAGTTTCAAAAGGATCAACTTCTGCATTGATCGCGGGGAAAAATACAAATGCCTTGGAAATAAGCAGTATCGCAATAAGATCTTTTTCTCTCCGGTTGCCTCAATTATCCTCCTTCTAGACAATGATCTTGGAATAGTGTTGACGGCAGTATAAAGTTAGGTGGTTAATAAAAAAGCAGTTCAAGCCGAAGGACTCTTCAAATGGTGGCGCTAGAGCGCTTTGCATCGTAAGACATTCCTTCCAATTGCTGACCTCACGGGGAGCCAAAATTTACGGCTTTTTAATGTGTGACTCGGAAACTGTGTCAAAATTGGCTACAGCCTGGATGGAAATTGAGAGTTTCATGACTGCTCGACCATTTATAGAGAGGATCTATTTAAATTAAATTTAAAGTGTCCAGTAATGAGCCGCAAACCACCCTCCGAGCAAAATAAAAACTATTTCATCATACTGATGTTCCAGTTGTCCAATTGAGTAAAAAAAAAAAAAAAAAATCGTCATACCCTTCAATCCCTCTCGTAAAAAACTGGTGGGAGTTTTTGAAAGAAATACGAAGGAGCCGAAGGCACCAACTTTAATTTCCCTTTTCACATAAACACCAGATTTTTCTTGACAAATTCACTTTTGAAAAGAAGAATGGAAACATTCATAACGCTTAATAGCGTTTTCATTTATCTACAGTGAAATGTATAAAATCTTCTTTTGAATGTAATTTGATATGAATCTACACAAGGTTTTAAAAAAATGTAAGCGCCGTAACTGCGCCAGGTTGATATGAATTGTCTCTTTTACCCAAAAATACTCTGTTAATTCAAAATAACTCGACAACACTGGAATGATGTACATTCATGCAAGTACCTTCCATCGAAAATGGAATTTTTGAGATTTCAAGCGTTCCCAACTTTCAGATCCCTCATCCAAAAATATTTCGTTCAACAGATTTTTTATAAAATATCCGGGCATATTATCCAAAATAAATGTATCATCTTCACTATTGCTCGGACTTTCATGCCGACTAAAATAATACAGGCAAGTTAGCTAGGATGCTATACATTTTGTATTGAATAGCAACAGATGAAATCAGTTAAGTTATTTGAGAAATTGAAAAAGGCCAATCTAGGTCAAAATGGGTACAAGCAGGGCTCAAATTTGGCAAAAGCCGACAACAACGTTAATTTTATTGGATCTTAATTAGGAACTTGGGAACAGGTTTCGCAGATGACGAGGCCAACTTATACGCTCTGTCATCATCTGGAGCATGTTAATTGTTGCCACTTCCTGGCCATCTTGGCGTCGCT